AGAGAAACCTACGTAAAGCACAAGCTGTCTACTTCGTTGTTTCCTTCGGTAAAGGGCTAATGCAGCGGTGCTTTTCCTTGAGTGCTTGGACCTTGGGAGCTCCACTGACCTCCTCGAACCGTCGTCACCCTGTCGTCCGCTCGCTCGTTGATTACCTTTGGGACCTCCGCTGGATGGACCTCCTCTTCTTCTTTAGGTTTCCCTACCTGTACTCTTAGGAAATGGAACCTTAGGCCGGCGTGTGGCACCGCATTCACATCAGTACGCATATCCATGAGTGTGTGTGTGTGTATGTGCGGGTTCATGTGCAGCTTGGAATGAAACCTAATCTTTTGAGGTTCGTAACCTGTCCTTCTACTGCCCCACCCACCTTAGAGTCTCGAAGGCTTCCAGGTTTGGTGGGGTCGTGCAGTAGGTGGCGAGTCTGCGGAACCGACTTGCACTCCTCCTTCGATCTTTGCACGTGAATTGGATTGGAATACCCTCCTCTTCGTTCCTTTGGAAACGTCCTGAAGCGGTCGATTTAGGCCTTTCTGCTTACTTAGGCATCGCCAGGGCTTTTGGCATTCCGTACGTATCTCAAGTGTGTGTGTGTGTGTGTCCAAAAGTTGTATGATGAATACAGCTCCTCCAAAATTCCAAATATGTGTGCATGTGTTGTGTATGAGATAGGTGTATAGACACACAGCATATAGATATAGATATAAAATACATACATATACAGTCATATACATGCTCGCTCTATATAAATGTGCTTATGGGGTTGTAGTCCGACAAGAGGAAAAGATTGTGTGTAGTGTAGAATCCTTGGGGGTGGGCAATCGGTATTCAGCATTGGCCCTCTTGCGCACCGTCCAAATTTGGCTCCTACGGCTGGAGGCTTCCAAAACTACTCAAGGCAAATCATCAGTTTGGATGAAATGGATGGCTTGTCGCGAAAGTGTCTCACAAATGTTTGTGTGATGCGATCACGTGATCTTCGGTTCGGATGATAAGACTTGGATTGTACAAGAACTGTCAGCACATACACTATTCTAAGTCGTGTTGGTTCTTGATCGTAGAAATCTACACATACAGTGCGTACATCTTACAATTGGCAAACAGTATCTTCCACCACTTGGGATACCCAAAAAAAGTATATCGATCTCTTGTCCGTCCAACAGAGTAAGGGATTAGCAAGTGTGGATAAAATCCAAGAAAATGGCCATGTACCTTCGCTTTGAGGCTATTGGCAATGCTTGTCATGCGTGCGCAATCTTCACCATTCTGCTCTACAAAACTTCCAGCCTCAGACAAAGCCTGCCGCAGTTCCGCACTCTCTGCCCTCACCGTTCTGGCTTCCTGACGCTGTTATGTATCGAAAAATCACTGAGGCTTTGTTGTCTCTACGTCTCATACAGTACGCGTCAGGTCTGGACCTTCTTGTGGAAGGCAAAGGCTGTGACTGGTTGGTGGACGGGCAGGTTTTTGGATGGACTATCATCAGTCCTCCTGAAGCAGTGCATCATCACCCAGGGTTCGGATTGACCTTAGAAAAGAAAATACACTTGAGGCCAGAGGGGGTGAACGAAAGCTAGCCGGGCTTCCGGTGGTCTGCTGCTGGTGCTGCTGCTGCTGGTGCTGCTGCTGCCGCTGCTGCGCTGGGCGCTGCTGCGCTGGGTGCTCTGCAGGCGCCGGGTCGTCTGCTGCTGCTGCTGCTGGCGCTGGGTGGTCTGCTGCGGCTGCTGCTGCCGCGGCGTTGGGTATGCTGCTGCTGCTGCTGCTGCCGCCGCTGGGTGGTCTGCTGCTGCTGCTGGTGCTGCTGCTGCTGCCGCTGCTGCGCTGGGCGCTGCAGATGCTTGGTGTGCTGCAGCTGCTTGGTGGTCCCGCTCACCGCGCGCAGGGGGGAGTCGAACCGCGGAGGGGGGGGGGGGGGGCCATAAGATTGATTTAATCAATTATTTGAGGTTTCTGAGGTGCGTCCACCCCGTCACTTAACTTGCTAAAGCAAGAGCAACTCCAGCTAGCTAAGGCTAGCTTTCGTGAAAAGATAAAATAGACACCTAATTACTTAGTATATGGCCTCCAACCTAATAGCGATGGCCTCCAGCGATGGCCTCCAACCTAATAGCCATGGCCTCCAACCTAAGAGCAATGGCCTCCAAACTGATGGCCTCCACGCAAAAGACATCTTGGCTAAAGGCATTGCAGCACAGCAAACACAATGGCTCAAGTTCGAGCACCAGCGCCAGAGACTTTGGCAGCAAGGAAAGTTGTACATAGGCTATACAGGTCTTTGCAGTGGCGATGCTCAAGGTGATTCCTCTAAGGAGTGCACGCACTAGTGGGATCCTGGAATTGGCACATGGGCCATGGCACATGGCGCGAGATCAAGTTGAAGCAATGACATCAATTTCATGGTAAGACCTCGAGAGCCTTGTCCACACCAGGCTTCTTTTGATCAATCTAATGACACCTTTCGCACGCTGTCGCAGCTATCGGCCTGTCCAGCCGCATTGGGAAGCGGAGAAAAGTCCTCACCCGAAAGGACCTGCCGCAGGTGTCGTGCCATCGGGAGGACCAACCAATGCAACTAGCAAACAATTCACGTGCCTGTCGCATGCTGGAGCTCCGGCTGTGGATGGCAGACGGTAGCTGCCTTGGCTCGAAATGCTCCGACTGGCTTGGCTGCGATCTGAGCTGCACTGGAAACTGAGGTGAGTTCGGAAGAGTTCGACTTTTGGTTGCGCTCATTGTTGAAAGTTCGTCCTTAGCAAGGCAGGGATTTGAAAAAGGTGGCACCTCTCAAGATTGCTGAGCTCTCCACCGGGCTTAGATCGGGTTTCACCGGAGACAACTGGTCCTCTGGATGCAGAGAAAGCAAACAAGAAAAAGCAGCTTGTCAAGTGAATCAGAAATTAGACACTGGAAAGAAAGTATCACTGACCGTCTGAAGAACAAGTTTAAGTGGAACAAAGCACCCAGAACAACTTTTCTGTTTCAACGCCAAACACAAGTACCAGACTCCTCTGGAAGCCGCACGATAAATTGCAAGAGATCGCGAACTTTGATCCTCCCATCAGGCAAGAGCTGCGTCACATGTCTGCAAAACAGAAGGCGAGTGATTTCAACAAGGGTATCTCCCTTGCAAAGGCTCGGGAAAAGTGAAAAGGTATGGCGCATATTGGTTGGCGCCCCCTTCCGACATGAGCTGTGAACATCTGTGCACTCTGCGATGTCTACCGTGATTCCTGGCATTCTCGTGACCCTCATCTGCAGTCACCTTATCCACTCAGTAAACACCCAAAAGGGAGAAAGGTGAGGGGCCTCCTCTCAACATGTCTTAGAATGAATCTTCTATGGCAAGATTCTTTCCGCAGATTCTAGAGCAACGGATGACCATCCCAAATGTCTGAGAAGCATAGACACGAAGAGCACCTGCCCCGGAGGCCATGCAGCGCACCTATTTTGACCTTCGGAGAAGGAATGGAAGAGCTGCTCCGGAGCAGGGCGACCATAACCACCTCGGGTCAGGCACCCTGGGTGGCTGCAGGGCGCTTCCCAAGGCACAGAGGTGGCTCCCATCCCCACGCATGGCAACACCCACTCATTATGTTGAGTTTTAAGAAAGTTCCAGCGCAACATCATGGATTGCTTCCGCTGGTCATTTTCCTTGAAAAGAGCGGCAAGGTCAGGCAGAAGGGTTCAAAAACGAATACCCCACACTCATCCCCTGAGTTCCAATACCCTCAGCTCCGGAAAACCTTCTTCTTTCCACCACCGGACCCAGACATCTTTCCCTCCGGGACCCAGAGACCTCTTTGCACCGGAGCACTCCGCCGTAGCGCATGGGCAAATTCATCTTGACTGAGGATCGCCTGGCCCGGCGACGTGTCGCGAAAGATCACGGTGATGCGACCGGCGCGACCGGTCGGGTGACATGACTGGTCGGGTCCGGCCTCAATACCCTCGTCCCCACCAAAGAAGGAGGCAGCCTGATGGACTCACGAAGGGACCCGCATGCAACATATATGTTGCAAGCCAAGACTGCAAGGAATGATGCATGATCAAGTGCTGCTCGGCGTGATCTGGATGGCTGTCCATCTGATTTCAATCTAAAAATGCCTAGGACCTGCCGTACCTTGAAAGATTTGAACGGAAACTAACTGACAAGTCAAGAGTCTACCAGCTCTCCAGGCATCAATCTGACTGCAAGCCTCTTCCATAGAAAGGAACCGTTCATGCATGAAGAGCAAGAGGTGCTCCTAAAGGTACAAAAATCTTAAAGCTCCGCTCTGCCACAAGCCATCTCAAACTCCCTTGGCTTGCAATCCAAATGAACAGCAATGATTGTAGAGTCAATACCTTCCAAAAAGTGAAGGTAAACGATTGAAAAAGCTGTTGATCAAACAGCAGCGGTTTGAAGAGAGACACATTTTGTTGTTGGTCACCACACTTGAGCACCAGAGACTCGACTTCTCATTACCACGAGATTCTCGTTGCTCCCATGCTTCAACATGTGAACGAGCCTTCTCTGCTGGTATGTGACGAGCCTCACGCAGTGATGTATCTCAATCGATTTGTAATGGACAGGATCCAATGTTACTTTCCTACACTGGATAATCATCTCACTATTGATCATCACCAAGAAAAAACAACTAAGAGCAGCAGTGAGCAGCTCCATCCCTGCCTCCATCTTTGGCCAGGGAAGCCCAGCCCGAGACGAGGGAAGGACGGCACCCAATGCTCTTTCTCGAGCCAAGTCAGTGGGGAATGCAAGTGACCAACTGCACTGACCAACACCTCAAGAGCCTATGGTGGGTGATTTTCGCAGGTTGGAGTGCAAGGCCTCCATACCGAAAGGAATCTCCGAAATTCAGACCTACCAACCCAACCCATCATAAACTGCTGGACAGGGTAAAAAAATCACTTAATCAATTGATAACAACTCATGAGATTGCCACCAAAGGTGAGCAACACAGCAAGAAGCGCACCACATCTTCCGCGCTGTTGGTCACCTCAGAAAAGAGTTGTAGCGACTGAAGAGATGTCTGTTCTTGCAAAACCGCTGTGTCTAAGGTCAAGGCCCCTTTTAATCGAACCTTAGGGCGGTTTGTCTTCCACGCTTGAATATGATGTATTGTCTGCACATCATGACCCCCCCGAAACCCGGACGAGAACGAGGACGGTTCCGTCCACGAAACGGATGTCAAGGGCACGCCTATTTCTGTGGTAGACTTGAGAGCTCTCAAACTTCAAAATGAGATTGGAGAGCTCTGAAAATGGGATAATGATAAGATTGGGATCTCGTGGGGCCCAGACAGGGCTGAAATCATTGAAAAAAACAAAAATAATCAAAAAATAATCAACTCAAGAACTCAAATCCAAAACAGACTCAACAACAAAACTCAAAACAAACTCAAAAACAACTCAAAAACAAACTCGAAAAAAACTCAAAAAAAACTCCAAAACAACTCTCAAAAAAAAACTCAAAAACAACTCAAAAACAATGTTTGAGTACAATTTGAGTCCAATCTGAGTCCAATTTGAGTCCAATCTGAGTCCAATCTGAGTCCAATTTGAGTCCAATCTGAGTCCAATTTGAGTCTCTCATTTGAGTGGCTTTGGAATCTGAGTTTCTGGTCTGAGTTGTTTTTGAGTAGGTTGTTGTTTTTTATTTTTTTCATCTTGACCCCTTGCTGTGTGGGACCCAGGGATCCTAATGATAAGAGGCTCTCTTTGGAAGAAAAAAGCCATCTCTCTGTTTCTGATTTCTAGCCAAGATCCGTGCTGTTAGTGGCTGCTTTGCCAGTGGCGCGAGCAGCAAAAGGCCCTGCGCTGATATACATGTGGCAAGCATTGCAAGGAGTTCTCCAACAGTTCCTTTCACAAGTTCCAAAACTTGAACCATCCAAAACCATCTGAATCCCAGACCGAGATACACAATCTATAAGTAATGTAGCTTGCAGAATGTCAAGCCTCCAGAAAGTAGGTCAAGCACCTGCTCGGCGGGCATGTGTGGACCTGAAAGGGATGAGAGACATCAAGGAATGACAAATTAATTCAAACCTACATGTACAAGCTGCCCTTGCTAGCTTCGCAACTCTCCCAACTAAGCCTGGCGAATCCATCCACGAACCCCAGATGAGGCTTGTGCCAAGCCGCTGCCTCCGATGATCTGACCAGGTCTATACCTAGAAGCTCCGAATTAATGTCAAATGAGGATGAATGAAGCAGCTAGCCAACCAGACTCCAACCGGAGAGCTTCATTTCTGCGTTTGCTTCAGGAGTGCATTGAGGACAGAGCTTCAGCGTGGTACCTCAAACTAAGAATGCCAATGTTTTTTGGCCAGGGCCAAAACTAAAAGAATTGAGCACTTTGACCATGAAGCAGGAAGTTCACAAAAATGAGATCGAAACCTGTCTCGTCAATACTGATGTCAGAACCTGGGAGCTCTAAAAAACGAAAAGCCCTGTACTCAAACATCTCTGCAGCGAAACCGTTGAACTGTTGCACCACGTACAAACCAGAAGCTCTACACAAATGTATTATATAAATGAGCTCACAGCTTTGCTTCGGCTGCCTGCCTGTGACCTATGGGTTTCATCTAGCCTGGAATGTTTCAATTACATCTGAGCCTCCAGCCATCGCACAGTTTGTCCAAAAGTCTGACAAAGGAAGCCTGGCACAGTCATCTTGCAGTTGTATTTGATTTGTGTTGTCATGCAGCCTCATAATCTCTCAGACCAGGTTCTTCATCCTGCACAGGCAGCATAATTCTTGCACCACAAAACCATCCAGACTTTAACAATGTCTTGCAAACTTGCCTTAGGACGAATGTCGGAGATCACCACTGGTCGTCCACTAATCGTGGACAAAACCAAGCGCTGCCGCAGGAAATTGCTTCCGCTGTACCTGCCCAGCAATCACCAGAAGATCCCCTGCAAGGGACCTTTCCACTAACGCACCTCAAAGCATTGCCGCTGCCCTTCATGAATCAATGAGTGCATGCGTGTGTTGCGGGGTGGCCCAAACCCAAATGACAGATCTGATATTTTTCTGCACCAAACTAGTGAAAAGTTCAACACTTTCGACATATCGATCTGGGAAAGGCGTGGCTGAAGTGGCTGAAGTACAGTAATGTGAGTAATGTGGCGATTCGCATGTCCAAAAGTTTGACAGCTTGACATTTCTCAAAGCCGACCGCACGCCGCACATCTTGTTCAGTTACATATGTATATATATATATACAAGCTGACAAAGAGCAAATGCTCACCGAAACAAAACGCTTCATGAAGTTTCACATCAAACTATTCTAAAGCCAACAGATCCGTAGTACTGTTACGTAGTTTCCAGAGGACCTCTTGACAAATTTTCACAAATGTTCACACTTCATCTTGCCACCACATTGATCAGGGAGGCCAAAAAACTCTTCGATAAGACGCAATGATCAAAAAGGAAATGGATCAAAGACCACGATCAATGATTTGTCTCTTCCTTATTCCCTACATGACTCAGAATTACAAGTCAGCAAATGGGAAATAGCATGTAAGGTAGAAAATTATATAGCTGCCCAATCTACTGTACAACGTAAAGACTGCTCACACCAATAGCAGCACGTTCACTGCGGAAAAAAAAAAAAAAAAAAAAACAATCGCCCTACAATTATATGTATTTTTTCATTTACCTTTTGAGACGTCTGCTCCATCTCTGTTTGAATGGTTTTGTCTTGCATGTTGCAGTACTACAACCCTCAACGACCTCCATTACAGTTTTAGAATGACACGATTTCAGTTCGTGAGCGCAGGGGTCAGCTCCACTGCACCTTGCACAGAATGTGCAAAAATATGCACTTTGGATCCCAAACATTTTCAGCAATATTGTTGTGTCAACTCCTTTGAAATCTAATGTCGGTGGAAACATCTGAATGCATATTCCTACATCCTCCACCTGTTTGAAAACAACTTGTGAAGCAAGGAGAGGCAGGACACACAGACCCCTGGACAAGGCGGTGCGACTGGACATGGACACACAATCCCAAAGCCCGAAACAAAACAAAAAATCCATGGGTCTTTACTGAAAGCGTAGTAATGCGCACAGTTCCCAGAAACCTGAGATTTTACTCAGACCCCTTTTGTTCACTTAATCCTTGGGGGCGGTGGCACATTCACATAGTACGTCCGCATTTCTCGAGCGTGTGCATGTCTTGGCTGCGCCAAGGGTTGCAGGTTGATTGATTCTCTGAAGCACTGCCCACTGGCTGGTCTCAATTTTTTGTGTGTAATTATGCTTAGTAGCGATGCGCAGCTTCGACCGCAATGCAAGCATCCAGCGAAACCGAATGCAAACACGTACTCGAAAACAAACACCCAAACAACTTTTGACACTTTTGTAGGAGACACTTGTGTGGGACACACTGTTTTCGGAACCTTTGTGGGACACTCTGCACTCTTGTGGGACACCTTGTATGACACTCACTCTTGTGGGACACTCTTGCGGAACACTCTTGTAGGACACTCTTGTGGGACACTCTTGTAGGACATTCTTGTGGGAGACTCTTGCGGGACACTCTTGTGGGACACTCTCGTGGGGAAATCTTGTGGGACACTCTTGTGGGACACTCTTGTATGTCACTCTTGTGGGACACTCTGGTAGGACACTCTTGTGGGACACCCAAATCTCTTGTGGGACACTCTTGTAGGACGCTCTTGTGGGACATCCTTGCAGGACACTCTTGTGGGACACTCTTGGAGGACACTTTTGTTGGGGCACTCTTGTAGGACACTCTTGTAGGACACTCTCGTGGGACACTCTTGCGGGACATGTGTGGGACAGTCTTGTTTGTCACTTTCGTGCGACACTCTTGTAGGACACTCGTTCTTGCGGGGACACTCTTGCGGAACACTCTTGTATGTCACTCTTGTGGGACACTATCGTTGGACACTCTTGTGGGACACCCTTGCGGAAATCTCTTGTAGGACATTCTTGTGGGACACTCTTGCAGGACACTCTTGTATGTCACTCTTGTGGGACACTCCTCAGCAATCTTGTGGAACACTCTTGCGGAAAACTCTTGTCGGACACTTTGTGGGACTCCCTTGTAGGAAACTCTTGTAGGACACTGTTGTCGGACACTCTTGTGGAACACTCTCGTGGGACACTCTTGTAGGACACTCTTGTAGGACATTCTTGTGGGACACTCTTGTGGGACACTCTTGTGAGACTTGCGGAACTCTCTTGTAGGACACTCTCGCGGGACTCTTGCGGTGCTGATTATCGTCATCGGCTGCTTGCCATGGCAAGGCCACCGGAAAATCCTACGAATGCGTCCCTGGGTGGTTCCCTGTTTACTCCTCTAATTGGGGTTCCAATGGAAAACTCCTTGGATCTGGCCATTGTTTGGGCTCTCTATGGCACTTATATGTGCAAAACATTCTGGCCCTGCCCGGCCATGCCCTGCACCGTCGATGCGTCCTTAAGCAAGGAGAACATCAAGTGGCCCAGGAGAGCCCACCCTGGTGCTCTGACGACAGCAGGACAGGAGCGCACACCTTGGCTCACTAGTTGGGCCCGTGCCACTTTTGAACAAGGATGCCTCTCTGTGTTGCCGCACCTGGAAGGCTCGTGCAAAGCCCTGTCACTCCCAGGCGAGCACCTTTTTCAGGCCAGTCGAATACTTCCCAATCGTATGCGACCAGCAATTTTCCATGCGTTTGGCCGAGCCAAAACTGACGCTCAGAAGCTTCTTGACCAATTAGCGCATCAAGGCTGGGAGACTTTACCCATTGCCATTCTAGGATTTCTTTTTTGCACGGGTCGAGGCGCTGTGTGTGCAGAGGACGCACAAGTCACCTTAGGCTAGTAAAAGAGAGAGATACGAACCAAGCGGCAAACCGAAACCAGAACAACAAAACCCAAACCAACAAACCCAACCCACCCAAAAGGAGCAAGGTTCGTACCTCAAGTTGGCTGCGTCAGCCAGTAGAAAAGAGTGAAACCAAGTGAGACATAGGGGCAATGAATTCAGCCTTTGCACTCAGTACTTCACCATCCGGGCATTATCCTTTTTCTACTCAAAGAGGCTGTGAGATTCGAGCGCTTTCGAGATCTGTTGCATTCTTCGTGCGATGATGTGCGATGAGTTTTTCAGCTTTGCAGCCAAAGTTCCTTACTTCAAATGAGGCTTCATCGCTCAGAACACGGTGTCGCAGGGCATGGATGAGCAGTGCAAAATCCGAAAACCGAGACAGGTCAGAACACCATTCTCAACCTCACCATTGTCACCATAATCACGAGGAAAGGCCGAGGAGATTGCCTGAGCAGGTTGCGAGGCACTTGCGGCTCAGGGAAAACAACTGAGCCAGCTGTCGAAGTGGCCACCCTGGCTGCACATGATTTCACTTGGGTTGGGCCCGCAGCCTGTGAGCATTGTCAACAGCTTCAGATAGTTGACCTGTCCCGAACGGACATTATCGGAATACTGGGATCTACCTTTGCTACTGCTCGCATCTGCAGCAGCTTAGCCTCTCCAGCAACTTGCGAAGAATAGAGCAAGAAGCATTCCTCCAGTGCGCCTCACTACGAGAGGTCTGCATCCCATCAACCTTGCTATACATTGCTCGGCGTGCTTTTGCTGGTTGCACACAGCTTCGCACATTCTACAAAACTGGGAAAAGCACGACTTGGAGGGGGACATACGCTCGGGTCAATGCTTTCGATAAATGCGAGCAATTTGCCAAGCCTACCTGGCTTCGTTTCCTACCACCAAATGCCAAAGACAAGTGGAGGGACGACTTCACTGAAGCAGTGTGCTAGGAGTGACAGCTGTCTAGGCATACTGCATTCGCGTAGAGTGTCCTTCTTCGGCTGCTCGAGTGAAAGCCAACCCTGGTTACGCAAATAGGGTCAGCATCTCGTCGTCATCGCCTGCAGTTTTGTGAGCCCACCGGGATGAGAGCCTTAGCTCCTTGTCCCTGGTTGGCGGGCAGTAGCAGTGCGGTTGATGGAAGGCGCCCAGGGAGAACCTTAGTTGCTCGTCTGCGGCAGCCAAACCACAGCCAATCTTGTACAAAGATGGCATAAGTACCATGCTAGGAGGTCTCTGTTTCACCTGTTTCACACGGGCCTTGCATGTCGTTGAGTAGTGTCTTCTCAGCACACTACCTGAAGGATCAATAACCATTTGGCACATGCGTGGGTGCCATTGGGCGTGTGTTGCGCCTCCCTTGCGGGAGGGACATCAGCACTTTGTCAGCAGTCCGTTTTCGTTGCGATGGCTTCTTCTGCCACACACAAGAATAGCCTCTGCTCTTCATTTGTGCAAGCAGTTGTATAGCTTGTGCCATGGAGAGGGAATTTTCCACGGCTTGATTCGCCTTGCAACCGATGACTCACTGGGCACGTGTCATAGTCACTGCTGACATTGCTCACGGCACTTCGTAGGAAGATGCAAAATTTCGAGTGCCAACCACCGTTGGCTAGGGCGACTATACCCCTGGCAATTGACTGAGGCCACCTTTTGATTGGCTCTTTCCGAGCAACCACCCACGTCCAAATGCCTTTTTGCTTTCGTAGTGAATTCAGGCCCTTAGACAGTTCGCAGTCCATCTTTTCACCATCTTTTCACCCGTCTCACATCCGTACAGAGGAAACACTACTTTCATTGATGGGATGTTCTTGGTGTTGGCCGGCCTTGTGGCTTTGTTGCTTGGTTGTTTTGGTTTGCGTTGGGTGTTTGTTTTGGTTTGTGTTCCTTTCCCATCAATAAGTTATGTTTCCTTTTCTTCAACGATGACCTGGGCACTCCGCCCACATGGCGTCCGCACTCGTGGAAAAAAATGAGTCAGCTGTCGAAGACTACAAATCAACGAGAGCCAGAGACAGTGAAGCCAAGACAGACAGTGTGGTTGTGGGGT